AAGTAAGCTCTATTTTTCACGCCTTTAGATTCACGTACATGGCGCCTCACGGAGCATAGCGCATAGGCTTTGATTCCCATGCATGCAGATATCGGGCGTTGTCTCCACGACTCATCTCCCTCATTCAGCCCGTGTACCCTGAGCAAACTGTAAACGTCGCCAGCTTCACCTTGAGTGAAATTCTAGTCAATTTGGCCATAATATCGAATTTATGTGGCAGTTGTGATTATATTATTCTGACTGCCAGGCCCCCAAAGTTATAGTTGTTTCTTCGAGCAGACTATACTCACTGTAAACTTCTTCCCTTGCATTCCATAACTCCCTAATCCGCTTCCTACTCGTGATTTCTTTACCTCTGGTCAACGATAGGTCATTGATCTAGGCGTCTCCTTTTTGAGGGCCTTGCCGTATCTTTGCCTACTTCAAATGTGCTTAAGCTATAAACACAGTTATCGCAAACTCTGCCTGTTCGCCAGACGCTTTTTCGTAAGGATTTTATTTTCCTCCCTAATCTTCAGTTTCTCTGTGTTTTCACCGTATGAGGCCCTTATTTCTGTTGCCTTCCCCTTGATCTCGCGTTTAGTCTGCGCAATGTGTTCCGTTATTTATGATCTTTTGATATCCAGTTTCCTACAGAGCCTCTGATGTTCCTTGATTTTTATGCTGACTGTGCCAATATATTTCTATTTACAGACGCTGCATGCTCTCAAAAATTCCCAAACAATCCATTTTTTCTACCATCTCATGTTGCGTTGGTGACTTAATAAAATTTTTTTCTTTCATGGTCACCTGAGTATTCCATTTTCCTAATAATGGTCGTAGTTTGTAAGCTTATTTGCAGGATACTGGGCATATCCTCTTTTGTGAGTCTTTCTCTTTCATAATCGTCGTCCTGCCATCGGCTTTTTATGGCTCGTTACTTTGTCTCATTCTTGATCCTTGAATTCCACTTCCGTTAATCGTAATCTTCTGATGATCATGCTCCTCATAATTACGATCTTTAGTATGGGGTTGTGATTGAACTGGAAATTGAGTATTATTCCAACATATGACTTTTTTCTGAACAATCTATTCTTGAGGGTCCCATTTGTGCGATTTAACTCAACATTCGAGAAAGGCAACTTCTCCTCTCCTCTACTTTTATTGTGAAGTTGATTATTTAATCAACTTGATTCAAAAACATAATGAAGCGTTCCAATATTTCACTTTTTATGCGACTAAAGTGTGGAGTAGTCATCCAGGTACCACATTAGCACTCTCAGTCGCAACAGTGACTTAAATTCCTCACTTAATTTTTTCATTTATGCGTTTGCCAAAAGAGATGAGAGCTGCGATCAAATAGGAAGTCCAAATATTCATAGATGTTAGCGTTGAAGGTGAAGTAGATAGCCCTTAGTCTTAAGTCGATTAGTCGTATTAACGACGCCTTTCTGATCATCTCTGCTTCAAGCATATCTTTCTCTTAATCCAAGATCTCCAGCAGGTTCGCTAGCTCCTTTTCTCCAAAGATGTTTGCTTACACGGATTTTACAAGAAAACATACTTAGAATTCTGTTCCTCCCAGTTCCATCTTTTTGACCTTTGAGAAAATTTATATGAATATTTCATTGTATTTGATAACCTGGCGTTATAAAGACTAATTTGTTCATTTTAGGGGAGATTTTAATTTCTTATTAAAGTTCATGAAGAAGTCATTCGTAGGCATATCTCACCAGAAGACAACCGATGATTTTCGGTGTACTACACCAGCTTGTCTTCTATACATCATTCCGTTTTGTCATATCTTGGAGTTTTTGCAAATCTTCCTTCCGAGATGACAAACTCTGGAATACCGTGGTGTGCTCATTTTAATTTTCTCAAAGGATCCAAAATATTGGA